ACTCATATTCTAGATGCCTAATTTTTGTCTTGGAGGTCAACTCCTCCAAAGTACTGGACACTCGCTATTGCAACTACCATCAGTGAACACTGAGCTCAGTGCCTTACATGCAGAGAAATCAGGTCCAGATGTCTCAGAGACTCTTTCCAAAAGGAAGGCATATATTTTTCTTTTGTTTCTCAGTGCCTATGTTCCTCAACTATAAAATGAAGATCATATCAATCCATCCCACAGAAACAATTTGATATTGTGAAGCATTAAGATTAGTAGAAAATATTCCATTAGAAAATGAATAAACCTGTTTTCAGAATTGATTTAGTAACAAAAGTGACACCCTACATCCTTCCCTGTGTTGAGGAACCCACATATTAAGGAGCTATTCTTCAACTGAATACATCCTGTGTACTGAACAAGAGGAATTCTGAAGAGAAAAAAAAGATGTTAGTATGTAGCTTAAAAAGGTAGACTCAAGAGGTTCAAACTTTTAAGGCTGCAGAGGTACAACTTTTCCCAAGTACTGCCTTGGAAACATTTATTTTAATAGTTAATATTTAATATTAATATTTTAATATTTAAGCAGTTTTCACGATAATAATTTAATTTTACTTACTATTGAATATGTAAATATTCAATATATGACAGTTCAAACTTCACACACTTGAAGACAATCTACTTATGTATGTATCTTGGGCTTGCAGTAGAAGAAATTTACCTGGTTTTAAGTAAACCATTATTTTTCTAAAATTCAATCTCATTCGTAAGCTACAATTTAGATTCCTGGCTCAAAGAGGTTTGTGGAAAGCAAAATTTTTGCTTTTTCAATATTCTAGGTTGCACTAAAAGAAGGTTACTCCTGAAAAAGAATTCTACCTTCTTTCTCCTATAATACAGATTGGTGTTTCTTGTGCCAATTTACTAAATACTAATACGAGCAAAAGTTTTCCAGAAGACATTGTCTTCACCACTTACACTTGACCATTTATCTTCTTTGTTCCACATGTTAATTTCTTTCCAAATTCTAACTTTAGGTCCCACCCACAATTTTAAATTTTTTTTTTTCTAAAGTGTATTTCCATTCCTTGGTATTACCAGCTCCTTTAGTGTCCAGCACTTTGTCTTATTTTTGGTGTCAACTTCTGCAGCTTGTAGTTTCAAAGAGGAATTTATTTTAAAAAATATTACAGCAATTACTACAGCCCTTACCGTAGGAGCACACAAAAGAGTACAGCAATGGCATTTCTGCTCAATCATTCAATGGAATAGAAAGAGTCATCCCATACTGAGAATAACCTCTGTTATCCACAGATGTGATAAAGAAAATTAACAGATGTATCCCATCTGCTTACATTATAAACATTCATTCATTAAGTGTCATCAGATTTATTTTTAAGGTATGTTTATGTTTAGAACATAAGCTAATGGGGACATGAATTCATAAACATACAACCTAGCAACGACCTTATTAATTGGACACTAGTTACAACAACAAAAACAAACTTGTATGATGCTGTGTTGTGTTCCTGAGTCCTTTCATTTGACTTTTAACTTGAAATGATGTCACTGAAAACACCCACAATTTGTTGTCAAATTATCTGACAAGCTTGCAATCACAGCTCATGCACTATAGGGTGCATGGCTGCATAGCAGGAAAAATGTTTTTCTTGCAAATCACTTCACAACGGAATAGGTAAATAGCTTTCTGTCTTCCCTTTCCTGAAGGAGTAAATACTGATCACAGAATCATGAAACAAATTTCATGGCTCAGTGGTCTAATTTGGGCATCTTAGCTATGAATTGTGGTTACCCCATCACCCTTTCAACTGCAAAAACTTTCATAATACTCTGTAAATTAATAGACTCCACATTCCATAGGTAATAAGAGTGGAATAGGCTTGAAAAGATTAAAAAAAAGAGGGAAATAAAATATGATCTATGGATTTCACTTAAACCTGCTTCAAGGCCTGGGCATTATTAAACTAAGAACATCTATGCTGTTGCCAACAACTCCTCTGCAAAGACAAGGAGACTAAAACAACAGCCAAGTTACAGTCATTAATTTGTTTTAAGGAACACATATTCCTCACAGTCTAACAGACTGTAAAAAGTAAATTATTTGTTCACCAGAAAAATGTGTACTATTCAACTTGAAGTCTTCTGCTGCATACAAGCTGAGACGTAGCACATAAAAGATACAGAAGGAGTAAAATACTGCCACTACTGGAAAGAGGCAAAAATGTCACTGAATTCAGTGGGTTTGATTTCACCCTGGCAATTTACTGTACTTCATATTAACAATGTGAATCTGAAAAAAATGACAGGTACCGGGAAATCATTTGGGAGCAAATTATCTCAAAACGTTTTGGAATTGTAAAATCCAAACAGATTAGGCCTCCTGATATCACTTACTATGGTTTGCCCTTAAGGCTTTATAAATGTAAGGAAACAAACCATGAAAAGGATAGTAGAAAGGGCTTAATATTACTGGCGGACAAACTAGGCATATTGGAGAGACTGCACAATCCATTTGTAGTACCACTAAAACCTGAATTCCTATTACGTGAGTGCTAGCATAAATGTCTGCAGAGAATGGTGCTCTCTGGTTCTAGTGTACCTAGTAACGTTTTTTATTAAGATGTTTGTTGTTGAATATTGTTTCTACTGTTACTGGGAACGAAAGGATCTTTAATGGCCATTTAACCAGTCCTATGACACAGAATATATCATGTTTTCTGACAGCTATTACAGATAGCTACATTGTACTCATGGTCCTGTAGCAATGTCATGAGATGTTATAAGCAGGCGTATAAAAAAAATTCCTCAATATCACACCATGAAACCAGATGGTCTCAGTTGATTGATGGCGAACTGCAAGGTCTGGGGATCTGTTACCCGATAGTGACCTAGCACACTAAAATACAGCTAATCCCGTTGGGAACTGTATCTCTTAGCCTTGATTTGCAGCATCCCACACATGGAGCTGTCTGATCAGTCTTACTGTAAGTTGCAGCAAACATCTGTGGAAACTGGCAAACAAGTACAAAAATAAATCCAAGCTATCCAGAAGATCCTGTCAACTTTTAAAATGTTCTTACACTTGCACAACCTTGGACTGATTACCAGAGGGACCTGTAGTTGTATGGGCAGGATAAATAAACAGTAGCCCTGTTGGAAGATAAAATTCCCCAAAAAGTCAATCTGTCACTACTGTCGTATCCTTCAATAGAGAAAAAAAATATTTAAATCATGTATAAACAAGGAAACACTTAACTAAACTCAGAAAAGATATTCTGGAATTGCTACTGCTGTTAAAAAGAATGATTTTTATATGACATAAAATCTAGAAGGATATTTTATTTCTAAAATAAAGAAATTACATTCCAGCCTTGAAAAGTATTTGCATGTCCTAAATTTCAAGCAAAAAAAATAAAGCTGAAATTATACTGTCCTGAAATCTGTGGAAAAAGTGAATGGAATCAGATTTTCCCTATATTGAATTCTACCTTCAATTTTACAAAAGAGGATTATGCAAAAGTTTAAAGGTTCTAGAAAGGTTATCATTGATGAAATAGCAACCTACTATTTTCCCATACGTGTTAAACTCTTTTCATGACTGGAAAAATCATTCTTTCAAAAAATCTCAGTGGCTTTGGAAAGACAGAAGTCTAATTCTACCAATTCAACACTGTAATACTGGCTTTAAAGGGCTGGCGTTTTGGAGAAGTATCAGCCTTGTATCAGCACAGAGGTTGAAAATACCCATGCAAACCCAAATAAAAACAAAGGCGATTTCCACTGCCTTCTATTTTTTGATCAGGCTCTTTCTGGATAGACATTAGGGTTCATCATTCATATACAGATAAATATGAGTCTTTGCTTTTCAAGTGGTTTTACTCATTTGTTTGTGTGCTATTTTTCTTATAACTATGCAGCTGTTTAAGCTGTCACACTTAAATGAATCATTTCCAAAATGCTTGATGAAATTTTGCACCAAGTGCAATGTGAAAGGAAAACTGTAGTAAAAGCCAGAAATTGTTTAAACAACAAAAATAGGTAATTTAATCTCTAAATCCCACCTATTACTATTGTTTCAATTTCTTATATCCCTCATTCTCTACATACTGCAGTTTCATCTGACTGATCTCTTCAGGCATTGTTTTAATCATCTTTATTTCCTTCTCATGGTCAATGTCCCAGTTCTAGCATGCTGTTTTTCCCATATGGAATGCATAGGGATCTTGAAGTTGGTATATCCCTAATGCTAAATCCAAATACAGGCTATTGTTTGCTGCAGAGAACAGACAACTCTTGAATGATGGCAGCAAGACAACAGTTAAACTTGCACCCCTATTGCTAAAAGAGATCAAGATGCATGGTTTTGATACAAGGTGACACATATAGGTAAGGGGATACTGCCTTTACTGAAAGAAAATAAGTTGGAGACAGCCTTTAAAATCAAGATCTGACACCTATCTAGCAGCAACATTACCGAAAAAGTAAAACATTATGGACTCATTGAATGTAATTATGTCACTCAATGAATGAATTCTTTGGCTCTACAATACAGAAGGTCAGATTGTACTGTCATACTCGTCTTCTTCAGACTGAAAAAGTAAGAATGCAATTTTAGCTGCAAATACTAAACAGAGATTAAGGCAAGCCAAGAAAATCTTTATGGGCAATGTTGCAGTTAGCCAGCATAGACATTATGAGAAAGTCACATGCTCTTCCTTGGGATTTTAGCACTTACTCAAGATCACCAGATATAACAAAAACATTACCTTTATTTTTAACAAAGCATCCCATTGAAACAAGGGAAGAAAATCTTCCAGTATCATTTTCTACAACAGAACACCTACTATGCAGCAGTTCAAAGGCGTTATAAAATCTACTATTGATGAAAAGGACAGCCCTATCATTTTTCATATTTTACATTCCTTTCAGAGTGATGAACTCCTCTCCCCTCAGATCTCAGTGAATTACGAAAGAAAGAAAGAAATTACCTGTAACCAGAGTCTGTCACCTGAGTCTGTTCCACCATTGGCAGTGCATTGAAAAGTAGCAAACTGTCCTGCGTTGACTTCCACGCTCTGAAGACGCAAGAAATGGGGAGTTTTTGCTGTTGAAAGATAAAGTGTTGAAGTTACACAACACAGAAGTACTAGGTATGAAAAATACACTGAGCAAATGAAATAGTCCTGCTTTAAAAGGTTCAAATCACTGAATACACATTAGATTTTAGGTTGGTTTACTTCTGTACCTGGGAAAGAGCTGAAGAGGAAGGTGCTATTTAATTGTTCCTGCCGTGTAAATTATCTTAGCTCAGCGTCCCTCTTGCAATAACACACTATTAATAAAGATCATATTAGAAACTAATTATGTTTTGAACAAAAACCTATTCGATACTTACACTACCAACTAGACAAAACAATAAAAAGTTGAGTGATGTTCTCAGGGAAACAGGTTTTTCTTTTTAACCAGGTATGGTGTCCATAGAGGACAGGTTTTAGAAATGTACCACAAACAGCTAATACACAAACATAACACTCCCCATACAACTACAGCTATATTATTTAAACACATTCTTTTCAACAACACTGAAGAAAATACAGAACCACAATGCATTCTCCATACCAATACTTATTTTTCATTTAGAAAGAGAAAACACTCCCAGGAAAAATCATAGCAATACAGCTACAAATAACCTATTGAAGACAACAGATACTCAAACAAGAACTATGTCCACTGAAGGAGGAAAGACAGCATGTGTATTTTTGTTTTACTCAAAAGGGTCAATGACATGACACAGAAAACCACAAAAATTTGATGCAGAAACTTATCCTTGAAAAGGCAGCAATCCCCAACCTTTCAAATGCTACTAGAGGCAAGAGGACTTCTTGCAGTCCATATTAGCAGATAAGACAGGCTCTTTCCGACACGGATATGTTAGTACTAGCAATAAACCGGCAAACTAAACATACATTTTTCTAGCAGAGCATCCCAACCGTTTAATGTGTTGATGACATTTTCTTAAAAGACCTTATCACCAGAAGAAATTACAATTTTAAGCATTTATAAATAACCAGCTACCAGAATTTAAGAAAAAGTTGCTTAATATCCAGGTGCAAGGCAGTAAAACAAGGAGGAGATGGAAAAAAACAGCCCAAATTACTATCTGACTATGGAAGGAAATATTTTCATAACTGTCTTTATGACAAATTTATTAGATGTACTGCCTTTTTTTTTTTTTTTTCTTAATCACCCTCCAATTAGGACAGTCAGTCATCCTCTTGTTTGCCTATGAAACTATTAATGTCTGACTATCCAGTAAAATTCTTCAGTACATTCCCCATTTCTCAGTCACTTTTTTTTTTAACATCTGTTTTTACCCTACTCATTTTTTTTCTTGGTCTTCTTAAACTCTGAAAAACTAGCCTCTCTGAATTACCAGGTACAACCTAAGTGGAAAGGGGCTTTAGGCTTTAAAAATAAACACACACACACACACGAAAAGGCCCAATCATCCATCCACCCACCCACCCTAATCCATCCCTTCCTGTTCTATGCGCTTACAACTTGCCTTCTGCTTGGTCTTTGTACTACCCAGACAACTGCCTAGCAAATATTCTTCCCGCCTCAATTTTTGTTTAAAGAGTTAAGTCCAAAAGTGTTTTTTCTGGCAATATACAGAAAGAATAGCACTACAATTCTTGCAAAACTTTAGACACACAGTAGTTCTATTCCAATTTTCACACTTTTTCAATTCTCTTGTAGACAATGTAACTGGTTTGATGTCTTAATTTCTAACATTTTAATTACTTCATCAAAGAACTTTTCATTAAAGCCGTCACGTTATAACTCTAGACACTATCGGGTATAACTCAGTCTCCACATTAACAAGAGCTACTTGCAGGTTTGAGAATTGATTGGTACAAATGCACAGATCAAACCTCTCAGAATCTGTATAAGAAAAATTATTAAGCTGATAAAATGCTGCTTTAGACTTATCCTACCTGAACCAAAGATATAAATTCAAAATGCTGAAGCACAAACACTAACAACATGAGAGCCTGCTGTGTTTATTAGAACTAAGTGATTCAGAAATAACAGCTGCTGATTCTGCATAACTGTCTCTGTATTTAAAGAAATGCCAGTGTCTTCTTGCCACTAACACTAAAACCATTTTTATGAGGTGCTCTGGTACTAACCAATAAACCAATTTTTATTTTAAATCTCATCACTTTCTTACAGGGCACAAAAAATGCATACAAGCACAATACAGTATAAGAGGAATGTGAACAATTAGACAGAAGATGGTGTCTCTTTCCCCACTCACTCATTGGTAGCAAGACTACAACATACAATTCCATGTATCTTAAAACACCTTATTTAACAAACAGCAAATATGTGAAATAGTCATTTACTTCAGTAGTCTGTTCAATTACATCTGGGTCACTGTAATAAAGGTTTAATTTACAAGATTTTGTTTTGACACCAGTTTTAAAAGAACTTAGGATAGTTAAGTATTTACTTAATAATGGGATAAGGAAACACATCTGAAACATAAGGAAGTAAAATGGTGCAGAAACTGCGCCATGAATCTCGGGAAGTACCCTAAGTAACCTTGCTTAGCAAAGCCTCAGCCCTCAGCCAGCTGAGTTTTCTTCCTTCTAAGCCTTGGAAAAAATAATCATATGTATTCAGCTCTTGTGTTGTTCATCTGTTCTCACTAATGTCTTGGCTTGTGGCTGCTCTGAATTTCTGATGCAGACAGAAAACTGGTCAACAAATCTTGATGACTTTTGTTCTGAAGGAGTCGTTAGATGGCCCAGTTAGAGTCTGGGGCTCATGTCAAGCTCTCTACACAAGGTGCATATAAGAGATGCCTTTAAAGCCAATAAGGTGCAGTGCTCAAATGCCAGCAACATTTTGTACATACTCAGCTTATATTTATAGTAGTGACATTGTTTTCTGACATTTTCCTTATCCTTTGCTCCACATTTACTGAAGCATAGTGGCACGTTCATTCTAGGGGACTGGCTTTAAAATAGTGGATAGGTACTTACTACATGGATGTCCTAAAACTTTCACTTCATCAATAGCCACATATCCTGGATGACCTGAAGTGACCACTTCAAAAACAACCTGAAAAGCAGAAAGAGAATTTCAGTTAGAATCTTTGTGACACAGGGAATATGAAACTATTCTGTTACGGAAAAATACATCAACTCTTTTTAACATGTTGAAAACACCCTGAGAACAAAAACTGCAAAATGTGGTGTTCTTTCCATTAAAATTAATAAGAAAATAAATCACATTTTTTTCAATTTTGGAGATTTACAAGTGCAATCACACATAGCTCACAATAAGAAATAACCAAATCCCCCCAGTATTTGGTCCAAAGTAGTCACCTAATAATCATCTTAAGTATTAAGATTCATCTTTTATTTTCAATTCTTTGTCTTGCAGACTAAACTCCTAGTTTTATTTTTAAAATTACAGTTCTTCAGTATACAGAGATTTGCATGGTATCAGACACAAACACACCTATTTTCATGAATGCATTTTCCATGCTCTTAATCTTCCAACAAATGTAGTGAATTAAGTAAAGTAGATCCATTTGTCACGGTTTGTTTAATGGCTATAAATAGGTCACAAAATAAATGGACCGTTCTTGTCATTTGAATTAAGTACACTCAAAAGTAAACCTCTCCAAACTTTGGCAGCCTTAGCTTTCAACATCCCAAGAATGTTTATGTGGAATAAAAGCAAATATGCAAGTAACGTTAGCAGGTATATTTCCTAACCCATGTTCAAGAAGTTCATGCTCAAATCCAGGCTGTGATTTTATTTTTTTTTTTTTTTAATACTTCCCTTTGGCTTGGAAAATTAACTCTAATTGCCTCTTACAACTAGTCTCAGGAAGTGCACTGAGGAAGACAAAGTTTAGAAACTATTTTTCACACATATGTTGTACTTGACCTTGGAACAGACACAGAAGGACACTATGTACTATATCCTTTACTGCAATTATTTTAGCAGAAAGAGAATGATACAGAATGCAAACATGTCACAAGGATAACATACAGCCCCATAATATTATATCACAGTTTCCTGATGCTGAATGAACACCGGCAGAGCACCAATTCTGATTTTAAAACAAACCTTGAGGTGAGCAAATTCTTCATCATCTCTTGCCTCTGCCTTCTCACATATTTCTCATTGCTCTACCTATGGACACCGATCCTGTTCTTCTCTCCCAGATATTATCTTCCTGAACTCTGTCCACTTCTCCCTCCCAATCTCACTGGAGTGAAATTGCTGTAAATATGGCTTTAACTCTACATGACTGACAAGAAAAAAATTACTTTTAATTGGGGTCCTGCCTACACAGTATGTAGACCAGGAAGCAACAAGAAAACACAGGACAGCAATGAGGAAAGTCCAAAAGACACCAAAGAAATTTTGCCAAAACGAGTTCTGCAAGAAAAGGATTGCTCAGTCACAAGCCCCAGCCTGTGGCCTATAAATGCCCAATGGCACTCTGATGGCGCTTAAAGTTGACACTGATCTACAGCAGCAGAGTGGACAGGGTATAGATTTGGCTCCCAGCATTCAGCAGCGCATTCAGAGCAAAACCATTCAAAATTTCAAGGCATCTTTTCTACAAACAAGAAAATGTCCTGGTGGAACTGGTCTTAGGAACTATCTTGAGAAGCAGAAATTCTTAAAGAAGAAAAAAGCAGAAACTGTGAAAGTATAAATTGCATTCAAAGACCTGAAAGTTTTTCCAACCATTATCATTCTTACCCCTGTCTTAACAGCCTTGAAATGGAAATACAGACAGGTAGTATGCACAGAGTAACAGCAAAGCACTGCAAGACCCAGAATGTAGCTCCTGTTTTCACTCATTTAACTATGGAAAAAGAACAAACATTTCTCTATTAAATGTGTCAATCAGTTGCATGTTCTCAGTTTGTGTTACAGTCTCTGAAAAATACGGTTATGCTGGTGCCCTTGGAAGGAGGAGGAGACTGCTCCAGTTCCTGAAGAATTACCAAGCCTATTCAAAATGGAGAAGATCTGAAAGACTATAGGGCATGAGAACCATGGCACAGCCCCAGGAACCTACAGCTAATGCAGGGATGTTACAACACAGTGGTGAAGAACAGGGAGCAGAGAGCCAGGTCTCAGAAATGGTGGAAAAGTTTCCCAAGGAAATACTCTGCCATTGAGTTAACTGAATCTAAATGTGGAGGAACGGACATGACTATAAAAACAAAGAGGGCTGGGGACAGTTACTGATTTCTCTCCTGTATTACCTAGAGAGCATTTGAGTTTTTTTTCTGTTAAGAAGAAAAAAAACCAATTAACTTCCTAGTTTTTATTGAAATGCAACTTGGGTTTTTTTTGTTTTGTTTTGTTTTGCTTTTTAAAAAAAAACCTCCCTCTCTTCTGGAGCACTCAGTATAAGGAAGATCTGCACAAAGCCATCTGAATAGTCTACCTGATCCATGATCCTATCCCTGCAAAGCAGACGAGTTTCTTTCAGGTTCTTCACTTTTAGATAATGCTAAATTCTAGAAAACCTTGGGAGGAACTGGCACATGCACACCTCTGAAGAATGCAGTCAAACCAGTCACAAGTTTTCTGCTGAAAAAATTAATTCCAGATAATGGGGGTTTAACTATTGAAATTTTTTTTTTTTGCATAAAAGTGCCTTTTCTAAAGAATAACCTAACTTTCAGCAAAAACAAATACCTGAGCGCTAGTAAAGAAAACATACGCAGTACCTGAGTAGAAGGTATTTCATTATTTTGTTTCATTAACTCATAAGCGGGGAGCTTAGCTACAGACTCTCCAAGAGGTATAAGTATTGCATTATTGTAATATAGTTGCAGACAAAAAAAGCTTGTAGATTCTATACACAAACCCATTCCTTCAGTTCACAGGCAGAAACTACAACCTTGAAATAACTGAATTGGAACCTGCTCATGACAACAGAAAAAGACTCAATGAGTGATCGAAAATACCTTGAAGTATCTCTAGACAACGTTCCAAAAATGTCATTATCAAAAATAATCCAAGCAATGTATCAAGGAACTGCCAGATGGAAAAAACATTAAATAACAATTATTATCATTACAGAGGGCATGTTCTAAAGAAAAGTAATACAGATTGAAATATTGTCAGTTTAATCATGTTTCTGTTAAAAGCAATAGCCAAGCTGATATCAACTTTAATGATCGTAAGTTTTGGTCCCTTCTGACATAAAATATGCAATTTTTAGTAAATGGAAAGAGACACTACAGCCTTTAGCGACATACCACCATCAGAGAGACATCGCTGATGTGCCTTTTACTTCATATAGAAAAGAATACCTATTCTAAGTACAGTAATATAAATGCTGTTCTGTTCACAGACTGTGAAATACTACCAACTGCTATATCCAAATCCAGTATTTTGTTTTATAATATTTAAATTATGCACTAAATTATCTACTTAACTAAGCGTTTTCCCTTTTACTCTAAAAAAAACCCCTATTTAATCCTATGCATGACACGTTTCTGAAAGTCCTATTAAGTTGCTGCACACTATAAGAGGTCAGGAATGGACCTAGAAACACTTCTGGTAGCTCATTTATTCATTGAACAACTTGTATTAGGGATGTCAAGTCTATTCAAAAATCTGGATCAGTTCTGCTAGTGATTTCATTAGAAATGAAACCTAGAAACTTATTTCACATGCAGGTTTTTTCCATAATTTCACATCTGAAAAGTTGCTTGTCTTGTAAAAGTTAACATTTTTACACCCGCCTCCAAACTTCGCCTTTCCTCACAGCTGATGCAACACCTGCAGTCAATATAAAAGACCCCAGTCAAAACAGAGACAATGCTCCAGCAGCGTCAGACTGGGCAGCCCTTGGATTTTTTGCCCATTATTCCACCACCTTATCAGTCCGGAAACAACTGGTTAAAACACTGAATTCATTTGCTCAGGAAAAACTCTGCTAAACGTTGGCCTCAGAGCTGTTTTACACGGTTCTCCCCTTCGCAGGCCTGCCAAACAGGAACCAGGGAAGCGGCTTAGCACTGCACTGTCCCTGATCCTCCCTGCTTCAGTGAAGAGCAAAATTAGCTTTTCATTCCTGTCACTTCCCCTTGCTACATATGAACAAAGAAAGGGGGTCTGCTCACCAACAAAAATGCTTACTGGTGAAAATGTGCAGCTCAAGATAACTTGTCTGTTCCAAAGAACAATAGAAATAAACAGCGTTTGCTGCCACACAACCTCACTCCGTAAATTCCTGCCTTTGTTGTTGCAAAATTACAACGCTTTTAGTCAAAAGGTGGATTGTACCTAATATAAACACTCTTTACTTCACACGACTTAAAAATAGCACTTTGCAAAAACAAGGAAGAGAAAGGAGTATTAAGAAAGCTACTTAATGTCAGGCTGCAATCCTGCTCCCCTGCATCCCCAGTAAGTGGGCAGTGATGTATCACACACTGCTTGCAGCACACGCTGCGCTCTCCGCCTGCCATGCTTTACTGTACAGAGCGCCTTTCTTTGACTATATTTTACAAAGTGTTGAAAACAGTTTCTCGTCAGAAAATTGGCATTGTCTTGTCGTCCTGTGGGTTGAGTTCTTCTCCCCCTTTTGACTCGTCCCAGGACTACCCGCTTTATCACCTTGGCATAATCACAGCGACTGCTGCCTTGTCAAAGCCATATGAAGAGATGTTCCTGACCTGGTCTTATTGATTTGTGCTGCTTAAAATGTGCTCAGGCCTCCGTGGCTGCAAATTTGCTTTATGCCATTTTTCTCCCCACCTCTCGCTCCTACACAACTACTATTTGGCACTCATACAAGCACTCAAGCACATTAAACAACATTTTGGTGGTTGCTGCCAACCTGAGACTCCAAAGGAACATCTTACAGGTAAGCAACGCTGAAAACTGACCTCCTGACATTAAGACTTATTAAATCTTATTCTTCTCTTCTTGTTTTTAAGCCAGTTGTTGTCTTACATTTCTCTACTGAATGCCCAGAAGCTTCTTGGTTTAGCAACAAGGGACGGAATAAAATATCAGAGCCTTGTGTATATGACAAGAAGCGCACGCCTGCTTACTCTTGGCCACTT